GGGGAGGGGGGGGGGGGGGTTGAAGGGTATGGGGGTGTTGTTAGGACAGTTTTATAGGGTGGGGGTATTAAGTTCCAGACCGTCCGATATAATGAGATCAACGGCTCGGATTCAAACGCAAATGGAACGACGTCGTTTGGGTTATGGGTGGAACCTGGTCCGGGTAAAAGGGTTGGGCTGGGGCAGATGGCAGTGATTTTGGGCTCAGCAACGATTTTGGCCCAATTTCGGTACCAAATTAAACCTTTTTCCAATTTCCTTTCTTTTTTCTTTGTTTTCTTTTTTCTTTCTTTAATTAATTAAACTCCTAAATTACATCTTAAATTAATCTGCAAAATTAAGCTAACTATCTAATTATAATATTTACAAAATTAGTTGATCCTAAATTAAAAAAAAGGAAATTACTTAATTAGCATTAAAGGCTAAAAATATAAAAATGAAAGAATTTTTTTGTGATTTTTATTTTAATAAAGCAATCAATTAACTAATTAATCATAAAATATGAACACAAAATCTAAATGCAATGCATGATATTTTTTGACATTTTTTCATGATTTTAGCAGAATTAAACGTGCACAAAAATGCAAACAATTAACAAAATTCTATAAATAATCCTATAAATTTGCAAACGATTTGGGAAAAATCTATTTCTTAATTTGTAGGAGTATTTCACATAGGGCAAAAATCACGTGCTCACACACACACACACACACACACATGTATGGGGCTTTATGAATGCATTTTAAAAAATGCATACGTAATTTTTTTAAATGTCGACACCGCTTACAAATTTTTTTGCATACGCCCCTGACTGTCGACACATTTGCTTAACTAGTAACCCCCTCCACATGAAGCATTGTAGCAAATTTCACCCTGCTAATGCTTGATAGGAAATAATATAGTAGGTCTAAACTTCAAGACATTAGAATTCTTCAACCAAAATATCATCAATAATACCCTAGAAAATTCACATCACCCTTTTTTTCATACTCCAAAAAGCAACAAGTGGAGAAGATTCTAACATTTACGAGAAGGTGAGCATTTCTGTCTTGATAATAACAAAGACTTTTTTCACTCCATTATTAGACTTTCGAAGATGGATTATGGTTAGGGAGATAGGGTAATACTTATCAAACTAAAGGTGTGCTGATTGTGGCACTTTTCTAGAAGAATTTGTTGTTCATGTAAATGGCCAAGAAAATATTATTCTCCAATATATTGGACCAGTGGGCCAATACTAATATCTTAACACCCAAATAAAAGTCTGAAATAAGGCAATAGATTGAGAAGCTTTCAGCTAGATCCATAACTTTTATTGGTAATACTCTAATAAGGTTTTATAAGTTATCAACAATAGCCATTTATAGTAGCTTGGCTAAACACCCCTTGGTGTACCAGACCTCATTTTTGAAATAGGCTAAATAATTTTTCAATAAAGTGCTCCCGATCAACTAATTTGTTGTTAAGATACATACGGCGCCCCTATTCTAAAGACATCCACTCAAAATAAATTGAAGTTAATAAAAGTATATGATCTATCTAAATAATATGAAATTCAAATATTTTCTGAAACATTAAAACTTCTAGATTCTTGCCTCTAAAACAAACCAAATCCACTAGAGTCAACTTATGATGAAACACAAAGTGTAAAATAGGCGATGAGAATAGAATGGCCAGTTCAAACGACAAGTGAGGATAGAAAGATCCAACAAAAGGGGTTCGAACTCGAGACTCCATAAGAAGGCATCTCGTGCATGGTTTTATTGAGTTTTCAACAGCGGTGCATAGACTAAAAATTCAGAATATTAAATACGTGAGTTTCTCGATACAAGTTGACTTTGTCTTTTGCACAACATTTGGAGAGTCATCAAGAATGAGAAAAGTGTCCACCACTGTGGACGAGCACTAAAAGAACTTCAATTGACCAAACAACATAAACTCGAGATCAACTAAATAAAAATCTAGAATACAAATTAAAGCAATAAAAAAGAAGATGTAAGGAAAAGGGAAGTAAGAATATATGTTTCTCTTAACTAGGATCCACAACATTCCTACACACTTCCACGTAACTAATTTCTCTACTCTTTCTTTTATTCAGTCACGCCTCCTATAATCATAACTAGAATTCTACAAATAATCAGGCAGCTTTCAGAAAGGTTGCATAAGGTGCATATGCATTCTAATCGCTCCAGTTGAGCTTTCTCTTGTCAGCATTCACTAGATTATTTTATCCAATATGTTTCGTAATATAATACAATCAGACCGTTATATAACAACATCCCTATATAACAACCATTCACCATAAAAGCCAAGTTTTTCTTAGAACCGTTTTAAGTTATATTTACCTCTCTATAATAGCTTTTTACCTATAACAACAACCATATTTATAGCAGAATGCTCTTTGTAAAATTATTCCTCTATAACAGCCATACAGAATGTTTAAGATTACTAAAAGTAATTCTAAAGATATGCACACAATCTTTTTCATTGAACAAATTTTCTATCTTGCATTAGACATAATATTTGAAGATTTGTATATGATATATTTCCCATTGGATACTTTTTTGCTGAAAATTTGAACACGAGTCTTCGCCAATTCAAACGTTATATCGGCAGTAAGAGAATGGAATATACGAAACATCTACAATCGTAAAGTTCTTCCATCAATCTTGAAATAATTTATTTTTCTAGTAGCTTTAAAATGTGTGCATTCGAGTTTAAATCTTTATACGTTTAGTTATGAATTTATTAATAAAGTATTAGCTTTCTTCAATATTTACCTAGTGAAATATGCATATCTTATGAGATTTTAAATTTGAATAACTTTCTTATCTTTTATATGTAACATAAAAAAATTAATATTTGGATAAGTTTTATCTATAACAGCCAAAAAATATTAAACATCAAATGTTGTTATAGGTGTATAATAGCCATTCACTATAAAAACAAAAAAATATCGGGAGAAACGAGGCTGTTATAGAGAAGTTTGATTGCACTAATAACAATAACATACTCAGTATAATCCCACAAGTACGGTGTAGGGAAATAAATATCACATAGTGTAATGTCAAAAACGAGTTAAACCAAACGATATGGGCGAAATGAGTTAAAATCACAACTTCCGAGGAACACGTTAAAATAACGAAATTATAAGGGGAGGTCAAATGAAATACTATGAAAAAAAGAAATCCTAAATTGTCAATGTCTACGCCCTCACGCGGCGAACAAAAAAGAAAAAAAGAAAAGAAAAAATAATTTAGTGGCAATGTCGTAAATATGTCACCAGGTAAGGGTAATTAATAAGAGTCCGTTCTGTATATGGAGCCATTGTAGCTAATGGACGAACCCCAGGGGCTCCGGTGCTTTGGCAGACATCAAACCTCAGTGTCGGAAATAGGCCCTCTTATTAACCCCCCCC